ACTTAAATTAGGGTATCGAATTAGCATATTTACTTCTCGTATTACACTTTGCTTTTATTTTTTGTGTATTAATAAGTTTGAGAATATTTATCGAAAAAGTTTCAAAAACCAATTCACCCCCTCTTGGTTAGTTATTTTTGGGATATCAGATTTTTCTTACAACATCCTTCATATCTCCTTCCACTAAGTAGAAAGAAATAAGTTGGGAATCCAATTCAACCGATTCTAGACCTTTTTCTTTTCTAACTCTCTTACTTTTTCGAGGTTCACTTTCAACATCTCTTGTAGATGTCTCTTCTTGTGATTCTTTAGAAGTCAGAATGTCTAAATAAGTTTTATTTTGAGAATTTCTTGTTGCCAATACATTCTTAAAAAACTCAACATCCTTTCATTCTATTATAACATTTGATTCTAAGTTTAGTAACCTATAAGCCTTGCTATTTAAAGAATATCCTACAAAAGTATATTTAATACCTCTAGAACCTAATTTAGTTCTCTTAGGATACGTATTCTTGTAATAAGCAAGACACCCCCACTCTTTGAAATAATTAATATTTGGTTTCCTACCTTTCCATATTTTATATGGAGAAACCTTATCCTTTTTCAAAGGAATCATATTTACTATATGACAAACACTAAGTAAAACTTCACCCTATAAGTTAGTTATATGGTAATCCGAAATTCAATAACATGGCATTTATCATATCTAAGAATGTTATATTCTTTCTTTCTGCTAGACCATTTTGTTCTGGTGTTCGTGGTGCAGAATATTGATTTAATATCCACCTCTATTGCTTCTTGGAGTTTTTAGTTTCTTTCTTAATTGATTTTCAACCTCAATTTTATATGTTTTAAAGGCACTAAAAGCTTCATCTTTATGCTTTAACAAATATATATAAGCATACCTAGAGCAATCATCGATGAAAGTAATAAAATATCTATTACCACTTCTTGTTAGCATGTCATTCAATTCATAAATATCGGAATGAACAAGTTCCAGTAAGTTTGTTGATCTTACTACACTATGAAATGACTTTTTAATCATCATGTTTCACATTTTTCTAAATTATCAAATTCGCATTGTATCTATTCACATTTAATCATTCTTTTCATAGTGCTAACTCCTATGTATACTAATCTACCATGCCATAAATTAAATGAATCAGTAACATAGGCAAATGATTTATTTTTATTAGAATTATCCTCAAGAGTACAAAGTTTGACCATTCCTTCAGTGGAATGGTCCTTTCCAACAAAGTACCCATTATGGGTTAGTACAAGCTTTCCAAATTCAAAAACAGATTTAATTCCTGGTTTTCCCAATAAGACTCAACTTGCTAAGTTTCTATTCATTTCTGGTACATGAAGAACAATTATTAAAGTGATTTTCTTTTCCGAAGAAAAGATGATTTCCACATTTCCATTGTCAATTACTTTTGATCTTCCTTCATTTCCCATTTGAATTTATTGACCATCTTCAATGTCCTGATAAGTTTGAAAAGAGACTTATCATAACAAACATGGATAGTAGCACAAGTATCATACCACCAGCCCGAAACTTTGCCTTGGGTTGCATTGATTTCACTCACCGTAGCGATAATTTCATGAATGGAATCTACTAGTCCTTCCTTCTTTGGTTGTTTCTTATACCTACAATCTCTTGCATAATGTCCCAGTTTTTCACAAACATAGCAAGGTGCCTTGATTTGCTTTTGAACTTCCTTTGATCTTTTTTGGGACCAAGAGGTTTTCCTTTCTTTTTGTATTTGTTGAAGTTGTTCACATTGTCCACGCCATTGGCTTTCGAAGAGCCATCATAAGAACTTTTACTCTTATCTCTTGCCTTTGACTCTTTCTTTATGCGAAGATGTTTTTGAATATCTTCTAAGGAAAAGTCTTCAGAATTGTCAAGAAATTTCTTCATTTATCCTTTCTAAGAACCTGGGGTTTAGCAATTATTGCTCCCACTTGAAAGGTTTCGAGAAGTTCGATCTTCACCACTTTCAATTTGTTGAAAATTATTTGCAATTCATGCACTTGAGGTAAAAATGAATATTATCCACAAACTTGAAATCAAGATATTTAGAAATTAAAAACTTCTTTGTACATTCCTCCTCGACCTTATATTTACTTTCAAGTGCATACCAGATCTCTTTTGCTAAAGTGGTGTTGGTGTAGAGATCATATAATCGATCCGATAGCGCATTTAGAATGTGACCGCACATATTAATTCATCATCTTCCCGTTTCTTTCTTTCTGCACGAACCTCACAAGTGTCTTCATCTGTTGCATCAAGAATTGGCTCCAATTTTGGATCTAGCACGTAGAAGATCTTTAATGCCGTAAGGAGGAATTTAAGTTTGTCCTGCCATCTTGTGAAGTTGGCACCATCAAATCTATCCAAACACACTACGTCTTGATTCATCATTTTGATTGTAACGAGTTCAGATTTTGTCTCCATCGCAGTAGAATGACGAATATCGTTTGAGAATGTTATGAAAAAATAAATACAGCAATGGAGAAAAAGAGAGAAGAAATTGATGAATAAAAATTTGACAAAGGCTTGAATACAAAGATTATATCGTTGTCCTCAAACGATATTTGCTTTCTCCACAATGCTTTTAAGGATTTAATGGCAAATACTTTGTAAGATTAAACAAGCCTTATGAAAATCACCAAAAGCAAAGTGAATCTTCAAATAAACAAGTGAAAAATGAATAATGATTATGTAAATGGACAAAAATTTCTCTCAAAAAATTGGATGAATAATCAATGTAAAATTTGATGTGCACAACAAATATTTATAGGCATCAACCATCCCACACGAAGTGGTTCCAAACTCAAATCAAGAGGTACAATGCTTCATCAATAAACCACCAGAAAATTCGAAAAAACCTAACCAATGGTCACATTTTTTCGACTATGCGACCGCGATAGCATACTTATAGTGTTTACTGCCCGAAAACATCCCTACAACCTTCTATGCGACCACAAGCCTAAATGGCTTATGCGGTCACATAGATTATTTTAGGGCATGTTTTGTTTTTTGTTTTTTTCCTTAATTCATCTTTCATCGACGCATACTTATAGTGTTTACTGCCCGAAAACATCCCTACAACCTTCTATGCGACCACAAGCCTAAATGGCTTATGCGGTCACATAGATCATTTTAGGGCATGTTTTGTTTTTTGTTTTTTTCCTTAATTCATCTTTCATCGACGCATAGTTGTAGCGTTTACTGCCTGAAAATATCCCTGCAACCTTCTATGCGACTGCAAGCCTAAATGGCTTATGCGGTCTTTAGGCTTGCGGGATCATTTTAGGGCATGTTTTGTTTTTTGTTTTTTTTTCCTTAATTCATCTTTCATCAACGCATAGTTATAGCGTTTACTGCCCGAAAATATCGATGCAACCAAGATACGCTAGCGTTCGGATTTACGCTTATGCGGTCGCATAGATCATTTTAGGGCATGTTTTTTTTTTTTCCTTAATTCATCTTTCATTCTTATTTGATTTTGAACAATAAATTTACAACATACAATGGATAAGTTAATACATGAATGGTACATGAACGTTTAATTTGTGGAACTCAACTTTATTTTCAAAATTCTATCAAAAATCACGAAGTTGTTTCTCATCCATACATAAATTATTATTGATAGTATTATTTTGTAAGTTATATTGTTCCTCTAGTGTTAGTCAAAGGAATTATATCTTGCAGAATGTCGTTGTGGAAAAATCACTATCGTAGCATCTATTTCAACTCTTCGGTTGTAAAATTTATTCAACATTTCTTCTTAAAGTTGTAAATGGTTCAATTTGATGCCAACTCCTATTCGCTATTGTGTGAAGTTGAAATTCTGGTTGTATATACTAAACGGAAGTGTAAAAACTGAAACAAAGTTGAATTCATATATGGTTTTGAAACAAGTTGAGTTCATTTATGAATTTGAAATTCGTGTATTTAACTCGCCAATTGTCCTCTACGCCATAGTCATTTAGGTACGTAGTTGACTAACGAAAGTTAATTTTTCTAATAAGATGGAAAATAGGCTCGAAAAATCCTTTCAACAGATATATACACACTTCAATTGAAAGCACTTATACACGTTATGGGCATCTTTCTTCTATTTCACATACTTTTTTTATTACGATAATTGAAACAAATCAAAGGTTTCTACTCCCATTAAAGCACATATTGACCTTGTGCTGGTAACTTTGCATCATTTTTAACACTATTGAACCTTGTATCTTAACTAATCACTAAAAAGAAGTATCAAGATAAGGAGGAAGAAGCATACAAAAAGTTACAGACATGAAACTTGTGTTGAGAATTATCACAAACAAGGTTTCATAGTGGCAAGAAGTTCACACTTAAAATGACAGCCAGAAAACGTCCAGAATGAAAGGAATAACATTTACACACACATAATTACAAAATACACGGGAATAACTTAATGAAGTTTCAAACTTCGCACACATTGATATAGCTCAAATCATAGCGAAGAGTTTTGCTTTTTAAATACGTATCCAAATCACAACAGTCAACAAGGCACAAGATCCAAATGAACCACCCCCTCACCCTCCTGCCCCCCCAATAAGTTAATGTCCTCCCCTGACAATAAGAAAAACTACTGACGCCCTAAGAAAGAACAGCAATGTCCACAAGTTGATCCTCATTCATCTTAGATATGAAGATCACATCAATCATGTTGGGGTTGTTTTTTAGTTTTGCAGGAAGCAGTACCATTCTGGACATTGATCCCATTTTTCCTGTTTGCGGGAAGTATTTGAGGAATGTCTCTGTAAATGGTGAAACCTCGATGACCTTGAATCCCTATGTCCAAAGCTCCCAAGTCACTGAAGTTCTTCCTTCTGCCCAACTTTGGTGATTTTGCTCGAGTAGGAGGTATCTAAAATTCCAAAAATGATACTCTAAAGAATGTAAGGTACTTTACAAACAATAATATATAAGCAAACTAATATAAGTATATTTTAAACTAAACCATTGTGTTATATTCCTTATTATAAGTTTGAAGTGAATCAACAACATTGCAATACCTTTTTCAGTTCGACCTTTGGTGGAGGTCCCTCATGGTAGAAGCTTGGCATCGGGCTTGCTTTAAACGCCAAACTCTTCCTTAGTTGCTTGATTGCTGCTTCAGTCTCTTCCTACAAATATGTGGAAGGCAGACAATCTAAGGGATGTATAAGGAATTATCTGTTAAGAATCTAATGAAGAAAGAAAGTGATGTTTCTATGTGGAATACAAGGACAGAAATGACTTCTATATACACAGAGTGCATGTTTCTTATGCAGTTCTGGATTATACCAGATAGATAACAATATTTCGGTTTCCTTTTCTTCCTTAATATTATCAAGTACTATCCAATTCTTCCTACTTGAATATGCCATCAGGGTTGTCTAAAATGAACAGAGAAGTATTAAAATTAAAATTAGTTGGTGGCTAAATTTTCAGTATGTATTGATTGATGATTACATTAATATAAGATATACAATTACCTTTGTCCTTGCCTCACATTGAGTTTTCTCTGCCTCCAGTGCTTGATGTTTCTCCTCTAATTTTGTATAAAACTAAAAACACAAGCAAAGTTAGGAAACTACACAGGATGATGCATTCTGATCAGCATTATATATAGAAAATACACAGGAAACTATCACACGAAACAGATTGATTGAAAAACTACCTCTTTTCTTCTCTCTGCACGGTCATTGCACCTGAAGGTTGGGGCTGATGCAACAGTTGTCCTGAACTTTCTTGCTGATGCCACAGTTCTTCATATAGTTGAGGAACAATTTAATCAAATGAATGACAGTTACAAAGAAATAGATAGAATCAGGGATAAGGGGAAGATCTAAATAATTGGCCTCTCGGAGAAGTAGGATACGTGGAAGCAACTGAATAGTTATCATCATCTGGATGTTTCTTGTTATTAGGTTGCAATGGCTTCCTTGGTACAATAGGCAAGACTAGCTGTACGTAAACATAAACCTATCATATTAGTTGGTGACATGATGCTAATATTACATCCTCAATATAGTAGGCAGGGGAAAAAAAATTATCTAGTTTCCAGAAGTTTTCTCATACATTGTAAGCCACATGATACAGATGCTTTTAGGAATAAATGCAAAGAAGGAGATGTAATCGAAAATCATAAAAATGAAAAAGATTTTCACTCTGAAGAACTAAAAACTTTTCTCTCGGTGGTTAGACTTTTTCAAGTCAAAGAATTAGGAATGATGAAACAATAAAACCACAAAAATTCTACATCCTTTACATACAAGAACTACAGGGGAAATGTTTTCCCAGTCCAAATAAACTGCTTGATAGACAAAAGCGGTGGTTGAAATATTAAAAAGAACACTTTTGTGGGAAGAGAGTTAGAATGAAGAGTAAAAATTGAAGAGGTCAGTGTGGATATTTTACCTGATTCAGCTTTGCAGCACTTGGCTGCAGCAAACTGTCAACATTAGATGGTTTATCGAACTCTTCCCCATAAGGGTGAGTACCATATAAAGCACGCTTTTCAGTTGCCAGAGCAAATGGCTGTGGAACAGAGCATTTTGTTTTACAATTTCCAGCTGCCGACTTTGTAGCAAATTTTCCAGAGGTCCTTGATCTCTTCTCGTGAGCTGTTATTTTACAGCCTTCAGATTTTGCATCCTCCTTTATCATGTTAATATCAACATTTGAGCTTGGAAGATCGTTGGCATCACCTTCTTCAACTTGGCAAAGTTTACTGATCTCAACCGACTTCTCAGAATTGCATTCCTTTATTTGACACTCCTTTAGTTCAGCATCCTCTTTCGATGCATCATCCAGTTCTGGGTTGGGATTAATTTGTTCAAATGGTAGTACGTCATCTTGGTAGCTTGCACTTTTGTAACTTTTATCGTGGGAGACACCATTTGAGTAAATTATGACACCTTCTGGATCCTTCTCCATATGAATGTCAGTAACTTCCTGCTCCATACAACTGAAACAATAAGCTTAAGCATCAAAACCATGTCCTTCAATATGAATCAAACAAAATACAAAAAAGTTTTTCTACACCCCTCTGAAAAGTATTCTAAAATTCAGTTCTCACAATTTCCATTGAAACAATCAACGTGGTATGTGTTGAAGTGTATATCACAAAAACACAAAAACGCATTTGATCCCAAGAAAATTTTGGTACAAAGCGTCCAAACATAATTTGTTGCAATAGCATTATGCATTACGAAGAACTTTTATGGCAGCAAAAGAGTCCCCAACCACATGGGGTCAGTACTTTTTTTGTTTTTTTGTTATTTTCCCAATTGCATCCATGTTGTTCTTTTGAACCCCACCTCATCCCCAAGTTAAGCCGTTAAAAGCGAGGACAATTTTGTTTATCTTGAGTACGCTCCCGTTTCATCAAAGGCCTAACATGTGCACAAAATCCATAAATGGTTGGCAGCAAGACTCGAACCTATTCCTGTACCAAATCGAACCACCTCATCTAAGAACTTGAAAATTATACACAACCCCGTGCGTGGGATGAGATTAAATTCAAAGATTCATTTAACATTAAAATACACTTAAAGAAGCTAAAATCTTTAATATTAATTGAAGCCACATCATATGGAACTGATATAAAATCCCGATAATTAAAGATAATAAACGTGATCGTTGTGTTTTCCAGCAAGTAAAGCAAATGGAAGGCACATAATTATTTTACAAGGCTTTGAATAGTTCTGACAAACATTTACGAAAAAAACACTTTTACATGTACACAGGAGTTATACATTTGGCATATATGCTTATCAGAGCATCAGAAGTACTTAGCACTAATCTTCTGTTAGCCAACATCTCGAACTCATTTTTTACCAAAGGCTGGACCCTAGATCATATGTTTGATAATATATTGAATTGAAGATTTTTTAAATTTAGCATCAACCTTAAATCAGAAAAACCATTTACACGCACACAGAAACTCAAAATTAAAATATCTATTCAGCAGAAGAATCATAACAGAAAATCTTACGAAAATCAAGAGAAACGTATCCAATTTAAGTTGCCACATTTCAAATTAACATGAAAATGAAAAATATAAGACATCCTTCCTTCCATACAATAATTGACAAAATAAGGTACAGGAATAAAGCCCTTCATTCACAGGGTACTAAAACCTAACACTGCCGCGTCAATTACTGCAACACATGAGAAAATTCAATTATAAGTTCCAATAAATCTTATTCAAGAATCAAAGCAATTTACATAAAACCCATAGAATTCAATTGAAATAAGAACTAAAAAATTAAAATGCAGATTATAATTTAAAGGAACGATAACAAATAAGCTGACAACGTATATAGATCTGCATACATTAAAACCCATAAATTAGACCAAATAACAAAAACTGATGGAATTGTAACACATATATTGAGAGAGAGAAAGAAAATTGAAAATGTCGGGAATTTTTCTTACATATAATTTCAAATTGTAATGTTTTACGCTTGTTTATCTTCTGGGTTTGCCTTGTCGAGAGATTTCTTGAGCTCTCTCTACACTGTGTATGTGTTTTTGTGTGTGACAGTGGGTTTGTTTGCCTTCTGTAGCAGATAGTTATAGGTGGCTTGGGATAGAAAAAAATAACGGCGTTAGTTGACGGCGGTTGAGAATTTTGAAATTGAGTGGAAAAGAATTCAGAACTTAAGTAGTGTAGTGGGCACGTCAGCTCTGCCCTAAAGTGATTTATTTAAATTACGATTTTAGACCATGAATTGGAGGTAAAAGTTTTTGAATTTTGGATTTCTTTATTTATTTTTATTTTTTTGGTTTACTCTTTTTACTTGACTAGTCACGCTAAACATGCGTTGCACGTTATTTTGAAATATTTTATAAACATGATAAAAATGATATTTGAAAATCAGTGAATATAAAAAATAGTTAAAAAAACTGTGTATATGAAATAAACTTTTTATTCAATTCAATCATTTATTTACGTATATGATAATAATTAGCATTAATTTATATATATTCTACTATAATTCAATCAATTAATTTTTCATGTTCATGCATGTACACTTTATATATTTTGGGGACTGTTCAATTAATCTAGAAATACTACAATTTAATTATTTATGTATATGCATGTATAATAATTAATATTTATTTATGGATATATTAAATATAATATTAAGTCATCAAGTTCATGTACACATGTTTTGGAAGCTATTCAATTATTTTATGAGTA